CTTTTGTAAATTCTGGTCCAAATTTTATAAAAAACGCAAATTTAAAATGTAGAAAATTTGTTTAATGGTTATTTCAGGGGTCAGCAACAAGCGGATTGCGAGTTTTATGCTACTCTGTTATCTAAATTCCTTGGCTCTCCAGTCTGTCTAAATTACATAATATTTTTATTTAAAACTATATTTAAAACATACTAAAACTGTAATCCTGCGGCTCTTTTTTTTTAATTATTTAAGGAAGATTTATTTTAGTTATTTAAGGATAAACCTCTCTACTTAAAATAAGTTGCCTACGCCTACGGTTATAAAATAGAATATTTGTAAAATAGAAAGCTATCCTAATTATTTTAAATAAGTTAAGTTTACCCTATAAGTTAAATTTTAATAATATTTATTAAAAACCTTTAAAATAACTTTCAAAAGTTGAACTTATATAAATACAAGATTCCATTTAAAAAATTGCATTAAAAATAAGATCTTTTTATTTACTTCTAAATTAATTTAACAATGTTCAACCACGCAAGGTAAGGTACTAACTAAAAAATTATTATACATTTTTATTAAATTTTATTGTTACATATAAAAGTAGCAATAAATGAATTTTTAAATTAACAAAAAGTATCATCATATGTCTCACTGTAATAACATTTAGACATAAAAACTCTTTCTATCCTTTCTGCTTAGAATTTTTGCTAAAATATGCTCATGACATGCTTCTTTTCCAAAAACAGTATGAGAAGCCATGGAAACAAGTTGTAGAGATCTCTCAACACTCCAGACAATAATTTTTTTACAATCTTTTCATCAGTAAAATCTTGAGTTGATGCTGGTTCAACTATGTCTTCATCAAAAATATTTATGAGCCTATACCATATATGAGCATCAATGTTAATTTCTGAAATTTTATTGATTTTGTTTATATTTTATTGATATTACCTATTTACGATTATTTACGATTTCTAATATCAAGTATAATATCTAATATCTTTGCATTGCTATTGATCTCATATATATTTCCTCTGACTTTAACATTGAGTACAAAGTAAGTAGGAAAAAAGTATTGAATCTTAAGTTTGCTAAGCAAATATCTTGCACCTCTTTTTCTTGGAGCTTGATTTGGTTAATCATAAAATATATAATTGATGGAGCTTTGTGTTACTAATTACTCTTTCTATTAATGAACCATGTAGGAACATAAACTTGGAAATTAAAGGTTACCAAAATAATTAATTCAGAATCAGGAACTAGTACTTGGACATATAAAGACATCAACCGTATTACCAATTATTATTACCAAATATTAACCAATGAGAATGATTCAGGAGACTTTTAAACTTGAATATTTAATACTAATATTTTCAGTAGCAATTCCAATGCAATATTCATATAAAAGCCTCTGGTCACTACTTAAGTTTTCATACAAGTTTTTTTCTCTAGCTTCACAGCCATTCCTGCTTTATGACCTGTGTTTGTTGAAGTATTGTCTACCAAAACTGCTTTAAGAGTGTTGAAAGAATCATACTCTTCAAGAACTTTGTACAGACAATAAGCTTGCTTTTTTGTGAGTAAGATACTCCCCACTGTAAAGGTTAGGGAGAAGTTTTTAAGTCACAGTCATGTGATGTTTTTTCTCTGTTGATCTCTTTAATACAACCTCACCACCTTCTTCTTTTATTTATTTTTTAACTAAAGTTTTATTATCAATTTTACCATCAACACCAAGGCAAACAAACTCTCTGTTAATCTCAATGGATTATAAGTCTGCAATATTTTAACTGACTTCTTTTGTCTGTCTATTTTGGATTTGGCTAAAACTATAGTTGATATAATTGCTGGATCATTAAACAGTCCTGGTAGATTGAGCATAAGAGCATTTCCTAATGCAGCTCCAATTGAACTTTCTATATCGTTTCTGATCAACTCTATAGTAAATTTAAAAGATATAAAATAATGACCTAAATTTCAATTTATTAGTTAATTACCTTACTAGAGCTAGAGACAACAGATTCTGAACCAGATTCTGATAATGCTATTTCTGGAAGTAGATTAGATGTTTCTTGTTATAATTTTTATATTCAGTTTTATGTTTCTTTTAAGATTTTTTTCTAGACCATTCATGATCAACTGAGCCAAGTTGAAATGATCCTTTTGGACCTGACTTTTCTCTCTGGTCTTTTAAATGTAATCTTTCTTCTACAGGAATCTTAATATTATTTGATAATTTTGAGCAATTGCATATGAAATTCATAGTATTAAACTTAATTTTACTAGTAATATACTAATGTTCATTTTTTTTTTTTTTTTTTTGTGCTTTTTGTGCAATTACGTGTTGAATGCTTGTTTGAAAACATTATTTTTTATCCTCCAAAGTTTTCCAAAGGTTTTGAAAAAAAAAAAAAGCGTATCAATTTTTTTATTATTCTTTGTTTTTTTATGTTTTTTTTTTCTTTTTCTGAAAAAAACCATACAGAAAAAGGTAAGCAAAAATAGTCAGCAAATGTGTATCTATATGCGCTTTTATATATATATATATATATATATATATATATATATATATATATATATATATATATATATATATATATATATATATATATGTATATATATATATATATATATATATATATATATATATATATATATATATATATATATATACATATATATATATATATATATATATATATATATATATATATATATATATATATATATATATATATATATATATATATATATATATATAAAGAGACCAGGAAAAGGTTGAAAAGTGTTCTTTTTGCTTTGTTATCAAAATATCCAACTGTAATCATAGCAGGCTCCTACAAGAATTCTTTCTTTTCAATTTTGTATAATTATTCAATAAACAACTTGTTTATTTCTAAATCATAACTACTATTATTCAGAAATAATTATGTGAGTTTATTAAAATATGAATAATTCTTTTGACATTAAATATTTTGACAACATGCCTAGAGAATACTCTAGGTGAACAAACAGCCATGAATGAAACAACTATGAATGCTTGGATAAGCATTCGTAGTTATATATATTGAATAGGGTGGCTCTTAAAACAACTTTTTTGAGAAAAACCTGCTCTGACCACTTTAGTTTGTTCTATATAATACTAAAACACTAAGTTTAAAATTTTTTTGAACAAAAAATATTTATAGGGGTAGCTCAAGATCCTTAAAAATTTGATGGGTCCCTAATATTTTGATAAAAAAAGTTCTTCTAAAGTATGTCAAACTGGTACTCAAAAGAAGCAAAATTATATGTGTTTTAGTATTATATGGAACAAATTAAAGAGGTCAGAGTAGGTTTTTCTCAAAAAAGTTGTTTTAAGAGCTACCCTAAAATTGAATGAATGTTTAGATAAGCACTCTGACGTCACACTGAAATAGTCTGCTGCCAGGAACTTCAGTACATACATTGACTATCTTATAGCCTGCGTTGCAAAGGAGTACTCCTACATTAACTGAGGGTTTGGCATAGGGAAGCAATCTTTTCTTTCATTATTCTTTGTTTTTTGTTCTTTTTCTAAAAGTACCATATAAATTAATGTAACAAAAATAAGATAACAATTTATTATATAAATACACTATAGTAGATATAAATATAAATATATATATATATATATATTTATATATATATATAAATATATATATATATATATATATATATATATATATATATATATATATATATATATATATATATATATATGTATATATATATATTTATAAATATAAATATATATATATATATATATATATACATACATATATATGTATATATATAATATATATATATATATATATATACATACATATATATATATATGTATATATATACATACAAATATATATATATATATATATATATATATATACACATACATATATATATATATATATATATATATATATATATATATATATATATATATATATATATATATATATATATATATATATATATATATATATATATATATATATATATATATATATATATATATATATATATATATATATATATATATATATATATATATATATATATATATATATATATATATATATATATATATATATATATATATATATATATATATATATATATATATATATATATATATATATATATAGGTGTGTGTAAAAAGTACTTTAATACTCTAAAAAATTATTCATGAATAATTTTTTTTAAAAATATTACAATTATTTTTAACTTATTTAATTTAATTTTAACTGAATTCTCTAAAACATAATAAATATATAATAAATAAGAACAAGTAATAAGTCACAAGTCTAATAGTAATAATGTTAAAAAAAATAAATAAAAGAATCTTTAAATAATGATATTTCTTTATGCCTCTTTAATCACTATTTGAAGTCAGTTAGTTTAAACTAAGTTAGGTAAGTTTTTTAAAAAAGTTTTTAAAAAAGGTGGTGAAAATAACCTTAAAATAGAGCACTTTATTATTATTTTTTGATTTTTGATGTTTTCATTAAGGCTGATCATTATCTGGTAATTGATTCTAAGGTGGTTGAAAAGTTTAAATAAGAGACAATTAATTAAAAAAAAGTTAAATAAGAGACAATTATTTTTTTTTAAAAGTAAAAATATGCTGACAATAAAAATGTGCTTTTAATATACCATTAATCTTTATATTAATTTTAATTTGACTTTTTTTTAGCGTAATTTTTATGTTTTTAGTTTCAAGTTTTGAGAAGTTGGTCAAATATTGTAAAAAAATTAACAGTGTTTACATTTTTAATGTGAAATAAATAGGTTTTTTTATAGGGTTTTTGTATTATTATTTTCTAAGATTAGGGATTATTTGTATTAGGATTTTCAAATTATTATTTTTTGGATTGACAATTTGTTGTTGAGTATTATTTATATTTATCAATTATTATTTATTTTCATTTATTTAAAAGATTTTTTTACATTAATATTTTTGTTCTTTTTTCATTGTTTTATTTAATTTTTATGTGCAGATCTAGAACAGCCTTCAATTAAGTCATCGCAAAATATAAGTGTTTTAAGTGTTGGTAGCCAGTTGCTACTAATATGTGAAGCTCTTGGCAATCCAACCATAGTTTACAAATGGCTAAAAAATGAAGAGGTAGTAAGTAATACCAAAGAGTTACATTTTGAAAGAGTTAACGAAAACACAAAAGGAAGTTATACATGTGACGTTAGCAATGGGTTTACTACAAAGTCCAGTGTAGTATACCTTGGTGCACAATGTAAGAGTTTTCAAGTTATTTTTTATATATGACAATATATTAAATCCAAGACTCTTTATGTGTATTTTTATTATCTATGAAAAAAAGTTAACTTTCATAAAATAATAAAAGTACTCACGTTTTTTTGATAAAAAAAAACAATGGAATTTTTTTAAAAGTTTTTTTAAGTCATTTTTTAGATGTTAGTAACAAAATTAATTACCGAAAATTAATTTTTTTTACATATATATATATATATACATATGTATACTTTTTTTCAGATATTTCATAAAAATGTTCGGAAAAAAAAACCCTAGCTTATCATCTGCTCAGACATGATATATTACTAAAAAAAATTTCTATTTAATTTTTGAAATTCCTACGGATCACTTTAGGGGGTAAAAGTATTAAAATTAGTATTTTCTAATTTTTTTTTTATATTTATGTTTGTAAAGACTTATTTAATCAAAATAAAATAGTCTCTATTCTGAAAAAAGCTTTTAAACGTACATAAAAGTACAAAACATTTTAAAAATATTATCAAAACTCATAAAAGTACATTTTAATTTCGTTTGACATTCAATGCAGTGCTATATTAATTTCTCAATTATAATCAGCTTCAGAGGTTGTTATGGAATTATGTAAAAGAAAAGGCCTGGAGAAGGAACGAAGGTATATGAAACCAATCATTAAAACCATACAGTTTTTACTCAAATAAAAAAAAAATTAAAATTTAAAAAACTAATAAAATTTTGAATCAATTTTGATTTAAATTAAAATACAGTAATCCCAATAAATTTATGATCTTCTCTATTTTCTCTTAAAAATTTGTTATTAACAAAAAAATACAAGAAACTAAAGTTTATTTGTTTTATCTCCTGCCATTTCTATATTACTTATAATTGTTTTTAAAGAGAAATATTCCCTGCCTTTTCTCCTCAGAATATGCTCTGTTTATTAGATCTTAAACTAACTAAACTGAAGACTCTATAGTCTTTTGTTGATTTTTTTCAAAAAAAATTATAAAGAACTTATAAAAAAGTAAACAAAAAATCTCAAACAGCATCAAGTCCTTTGATTGTTGCTCAATTTCTAGATAAGAAATGTTTTATTTCCAAAACTCTAGTGAGTCTTTATCCATTGAGTTTCTGCCTTTCCATGCCTAAGCTGTCAAAAACTTGCCACGACGTGTCTGTTGTTAATGGGGATAAACTAAATTAGGAGGTTCATCTTTACTAAAATTGAGGCTATTAAATATAGCTTGGTCCATTGTCTAGCACTCCAAAGAAAAACTGTCACTTAGACATCATTGTAAACTGTACATTTATATGGTTGTATCACCACATTTCCTACATTCTTTATCTGCTAGGGCATAAGCTACCAAAATAGGATCCAGATACCAAGTATGTCTGTGTTTGTCAGTAAGTTTTTGGATAGCAGTACCAACATGCTGATACATGTCATAAGGTTACATTGATGGAAACATTGCTAAATAAAGGCATTTTTCAATGAGTTCATTGAAAAAAATACCTTAGCTGTTCTTTTGTAAGCACATTAAATCCACTGAGTATCCAAGGAACCATAAGTTTAAAAAATTATATAAAATATATTTCAAGAAAACATTATTTACTGAAAAAAATTAAATTTTTTTTTTTCAAAAATGTAAAAGTGTGTTTTTGTGTGTGTGTGTTTATATATATATATATATATATATATATATATATATATATATATATATATATATATATATATATATATATATATATATATATATATATATATATATATATATATATAATAATTGATAATATTATTTTGACTAATCGTATTATGAACCTTAAAGCCAAATTCATTATTACCTTCAAACAGATAAGTATTTTCTAAATAAGAAAAATTAAATTTCTGACAAAAGATCCTAGTTTGCCAACATAAAAAGATGTTTGGTATAAGGAGTAGAAGGTATAGTTTCCCTCAATGCGAACACATGCATTGGGGCATTGAGGGAACTCCAAACTTAAGTGTGTTTATACCTATGCCAAAGGAGGAGGCCTTTCAAAAAATTAAGAAGGCGGAGGCCTGGGAGCAAAAAAGTCCTAAAATGCTACCACCCACCCCCACCCACCCCCCCCCCACCCACCCCCACCCCCCAAAAAAAATAAACAAGGGGAGGGGGTGTAAATTTTGTATGGTCATCACTTTTGTAATTTACAATATTTTTCAACAAAATTTAAAATCTGTTGATAAATTTAAATTTAGTTTTAGATGGTAATGTTAAAATTTTACTACATTAGTGCACTCATGATTGGGCAGGGGGTAAGCATTTTAGGGCTTTTTTGTTCCCAGACCTCTGCCATCCCAATTTTTTGTGAGGCCTCCTCATTTGGCATAGTTATACTTAAGTTTTAGAGCTTGCACAAATTTCATACATTTGGCATAGGCATACTTATGTTTGGAGTTTGTCAGTGGCGGATTGAGGTTTAGCATTGTGGGGGTCATGGGAATGAGTAGGGGGCGACAAGGGTTGGAGATGGCATATTACCCTTAGATGATGATAAGTATATTATATCAATGCTATTATGTGCCTTTGATTATTACTAAGTACATCTAAGAAACTAAACAATCTAAAGTTTGATTATTTTAAAATTATCGTTAAAAAAAATTTTAAAAAGATATATCAATTATCGTTAAAAAAAATTTTCAAAAGATATATTTACACAATACATATTACTGAAAGCAAGCATTAAGAAAAAAACTTACTCTCCTGCTAGTTTATACTATTTTTTTTTTGCGAGATCATCATAAGGCCTAGTGCGAGATCATCATAAGGACTATAATCTCAAAATTTTATAAAATAGTCCTCAAAGAACTCTCAGCAGTTATAACTGTATTTTTTTTACGGAGTCTTCTGAATCTTGGAATTGTCAAGAAAATATGGAATTGTCAAGAAAAGATGTATTCTTTATGGTGAAAGACCATAAAGAATACATCTTTTTCAATGATGAATTTATATTCATTAAAAAATGAATATAAATTCATCATTGATATTTTGACAGATGCAATTTTCAAAAAAACGAAACATGTGATACAAGTAGGTGAGGATGAAATGTAATTATCACGGTTATTTGCAAATTTTCGATCAAGATGGAGAGCAGCAGGAAGATGGGAAGAATTTTTTCTGAAAAAAAATGAAGGGCACCGTACAATTTTCAAAATTATCCAATACTGAATGCACAACACCTGAGAAGATTGTGAAGAATGATAATAAAAAAGGAACATGTGGGCGACCTTTGCAATTCTTTGCTTCATATAGTGATAGATCAAAGAGCCAAAAGACTCAAGAAGTATGTTCTACTTTTTCTACAGAAGAATTGGCATATGCTGCTCAAATGAGTTTAAGGACTTCTGCTCAAGTAAATGCTGCTCAAATTGTTAAAGATGTCATGTTAACAACCCCAACAAGAGCCTCAAAAATATATATCTGCTGTTTGGTCACAAAATGAAGTACCTTTAACCCCAGACAAAGCACTTTAATGATTGAGAAGGGAAAATCAAAGCACTCTTATTAACTATTAAGAAATGTAGCTAGAGCACATAATGCAAGTTATATCCATCATACCTTGAAGTAGAAAAAAAAAAAAAATGTTTTTATCCATCTGTTGTGTACCCAACTGTTAGTGAGTTGTGCGCACAAATTGAACTACAGGATTTACTTGATCATACCACATCTAAAATTATACAACTTCAGGCTGGCGTCATTGATACTCTAAATCTGGATAAATTCTGCAAAAATTAGTACTTCACTGTAAATGGGGTGTGATGGAAGCAGCAGTCAAAGTGTTTATAAACAAAAATTTACTGAGACTGGAAAATCTGATGAAAGCACTTTTTGTACTTGTCTTGCCCCTTTACAATTAATACACATCAATCACGAGACAGGTGAAGCAACTATTGTGTGGAAAATCCTAGACCATCATCTCCGAGATTCTGCAGACCAATACGATTGCAGGTTGTACATGAAGATAAACAGTCAACAGTGAAAGAAGTTACCGACATTGAACAGCAGATTGAGGGTCTTGCACCATATGCTACTAAACAAAATGGAAAATCCATTTCAGTAACTTGTTGTATGTCCTTTACGATGACGGTAAAGTCTGTAATGCAGTAACTGGTACCACTTCTGCATGACACTGCTTCCTGTGCAAAGCTTCTTCTAAAGAATTTAATGACATCAACAACATTTTAAAAATTGGCATTACTACAGATAATTTAAGATTTGGTATATGTACATTGCATGAAGGGATTAATTTTTTCAAGTGCTGTTTGTATTTGTTGTATAAGCTAACAACTGAAAAGTGGCAAGCTTGTCAAGAGGAAGAGAAAAAGAATGTGAAAATACATACGGAAGAAACACAGATTCAATTTAGGATAAAACTAAGGCTTATTGTTGATCAACCAAAGCCAGGATATGGCAGCTCTAACGATGGAAATACAGCGCACCGCTTTTTTGAAAATGCAGCTCTGCTGAAATAACAGGAGTCGATGAAAATTTAACTCACCGATTTCATGTTATTTTGCTGGTAATTTTGAGCGGGTTTGATATAGATGATAAAAAATACAAAGGCTATTGTGTAAATACTGCCCATTTATTTGTTGCTTTATATCTATGATATTACATGCCTACATCTGTACATAAAGTGTTGATCCATGGAGCAGAAACTGTAAAAAATGCCCTTCTACTGATTGGACAACTTTCTGCAGATGCCCAAAAGTCAATCAATAAGGACATTAAAAACATCAGATTACATCATTCAAGAAAATTTTCAAGAGAATTGAATATGAGTGACATTTTTAATAGATAACCCCTTATGGTGGGCATTTTAAAAGGCTTTTTAAGGTAATTTGTAAAACACATTTTTTGTGCACAGTAAAGACATTTTTCTTGAAGGTTTCTGCTTTTTCTATGCAACTAAAGTAGAAGTTGTTGCAATAAAAAGTTATTAATAATTGAATATATATTTATCTCCAGGATTAAATTTAGCTTTATATTTCATATAAACTGGATGTTGATTCAATTCCATTCTTCTCTTTTTCAAAGGCATAGATGTTTCTTCACATGTCGTTTCAAAGATTTCCTCTGACGTTTCTTAGATTCATTATTAATTAAAGTATATATATATATATATATATATATATATATATATATATATATATATATATATATATATATATATATATATATATATATATATATATATATATATATATATATATATAATGAATCTAAGAAATGTCAGAGGAAATCTTTGAAACTACATATATATATATATATATATATATATATATATATATATATATATATATATATATATATATATATATATATATATATATATATATATATATATATATATATATATATATATATATATATATATATATATATATATATATATATATATATATATATAATGAATCTAAGAAATGTCAGAGGAAATCTTTGAAACTACATATATATATATATATATATATATATATATATATATATATATATATATATATATATATATATATATATATATATATATATATATATATGTAGTTTCAAAGATTTCCTCTGACATTTCTTAGATTCATTATATATATATATATATATATATATATATATATATATATATATATATATATATATATATATATATATATATATATATATGTAGTTTCAAAGATTTCCTCTGACATTTCTTAGATTCATTATATATATATATATATATATATATATATATATATATATATATATATATATATATATATATATATATATATATATATATATATATATATGTAGTTTCAAAGATTTCCTCTGACATTTCTTAGATTCATTATATATATATATATATATATATATATATATATATATATATATATATATATATATATATATATATATATATATATATATATATATATATATATATATATATATATATATATATATATATATATATATATATATATATATAATGAATCTAAGAAATGTCAGAGGAAATCTTTAAAACTACATATATATATATATATATATATATATATATATATATATATATATATATATATATATATATATATATATAAAAGATACATTTTATTATATGATATGATTATTGTTTGAATTAAACTTTAAATATTTTGAAATATTTAGATATAAAAACACCTCGACTTCGGTTCTCAAATTTTGAAACAGTCATCGAAGAGGATTTTCTATCAATGTTTTGTGAAGTTGATAGCACATTACCTGTTTATTTCAAATGGTGGAAAAATGGAAAGCTTCTAAATCATGAATTATCTGTTCTTGCGTTAAAGGTTAAAAGAAATGATTCAGGTCTTTACAAATGTCAAGCGCAAAATAATGCTGGAAGTAAAGTATCAAATGAACAGTTTCTAAACGTAATGTGTAAGTTATATTTATACAATACTTATTGTATTACAAATGTTACAGGTTTTATAAGAAGTTATACCTGTACAATACTATACTACTTTACTATTACAGTTATAAAAACATACATTTAATATATTTTTATAATTGTATTATTACTTATTGTGTCAGATTAACTCTTTTGTACCTAAATTTAATATGGGTAAAAATCAACACACTATTTAAAATGAAAAAAGGCATCATATTTACTCAATAAAACTATAAATTTTCTTAAAGAAAAATAAATATACAACATATATCTTATAAAATAAAATTCATTTACCAATAATTGCGGACACAAATAAGGTAGGTATGGGTATTAAGGCCCACCTAACAGACTTTTGGTCATTTAGGCCTTAAAAATTAAGTTTAAAAAAATAATTTTTATTGCTGCTTAAGATTAATCATTCCTTGATGTAAAAATGTTATTGAGAAATTAATTATAACAAAACATGGTAAAAATTGAGAAAATAATTATAATAAAAGTTATTCATGTTTTTGTAACATGCCTTAAGTGAGCCTTATTACCCCCCTAGGGGGGTAATAGGGCCCATGTAAAAAATACAAAAAATAAATAAAGAAAAACCAGAAAAAAGTTTAGAAACATTTTTTTAATGCAAAGTTTATCTCACGTTTGTAAAATAATAAGTTATCTTGCATATTTATATACTTTAAAAGAACCAATTTTTTATACAACAGTGAATTAAAAAATTCAATAAAGAAATGTTACAAAGAAAAACATTAATCTTCACAGAATGGACATATTAATTCTTCCTCATCTTCAGAATCATACCTCATGCTCGCCTCATGGTACCATACTTTACATTTACAACATTGTCGCATACTTTCTACAGACTTTTGCTGGCACAACAAACAAAACCAATCATTCACATCCACACTTACAAACTTACTTTTCTTTCCACTTGGTTTTCCTTATTCTTTTTATTAACAGCTTTAGAAGTGGAAGATTGAGAATCTTCTTTCGTCAGGTCTTTAGAAACATTTGCTTTTCCTTGCCCCTTATTCTTTTTTATTAACAGCTTTATATGTAGAAGATTGAAAATCTTCTTTCGTTAGGGCTTTAGCAACATAGTTAAAACTTTTTTTAACTATGTTGCTAAAGCCCTAACGAAAGCCATATTTTTCTTTTTAGCAGGACTCGGCATTAAATCATTGAAACTTGCATTAAGATTTATTTCAGGTAGATTGACCAGAGCTGTTGAGGGACTCAACAGCTACAGTTCTAAATTGCCATTTCCAAAGACAATATTTGAAAAAAATATTTTTTTAATAAATAGTATTTAAGTCTATAAAAATAAATACATAACTTTTTCTTTTAAAAAACAACATTTTATTGACTAAAAAATAAAAAAATTAACTTTTTCAAAAGTACTGAAAGTATAAAATCTATAAAGTTCAGGTCAACGTTTTTGTTATTATTATTTAACAGCGATTTTATTTATTTACACTAAAGTTTGTTGTTTATTGTTTGTATTAATTACTTTTCTTAACGATTTCTTTTATTTACGCTAAACTAAAGTCAGTTTCACGTTGTTTGTTTTAATTACTTTTTTTTAATGATTTCTTTTATAACGCTAAACTAAAGTTTAGCGTATTTATTTTATTATTACCACTGACCTCGTGTTTGGGACTTATTACTCGATTTTTAGTGGGCCTTATTACCCGCTTTGGACCTGCCACGTTTATCGATAAAGTATCCTTTTGTTTCAACACCTGCATAAATATTACATGTTGAGTAATAATAACGAATAAATACTTAATGCAAATAAATGCACTTGAAAAAAGTAGAAGCATTATAAAATATTTTAAAACGTGAAAATACGTATCTTAAAAATTAGACTTAAGCAATTATTGACGGAACCTACGAAGTAATCTTGCTTTGTCGAACACGCAGTAAAGAAGTGCTGATTTTTTTTTGCTGCCAGTGATAAAAACAGACAACTCTAATATTTTAATGTTGAAAAAAAGCTTTGCAATTTATATTTTCTCGAAGGTTGGATTAGTGGGCTTTATTACCCACTTGGCCTTTATACCCACACCCACCTTATCACAAAATTTTTGAAAAAAACAATTTTTTTTAAATAAAAGATCGGAAAAGCCTGCTTTGAAACTCTTGAAAATCTAAAAAATGTTTATCAAAACTTTAAACTATCAGAAGTATTTTTTGCAACAAAATTAGATACAAATAGATTGCTCAAAAATCTCTTGAGATTTCAGAAATTTTGGAACAATTTCTCACTGTTTCTAATTAACTTTTTAATAATCCTTTTACCTAATAGTATTCTTTTTGTCTTAAACCCCTACCCTAATAGGTATGTTTTTTGATTTACAAGCGCACAATCTTTTTTGACTATCTCTGAAGCAAAAATTTCAGCTCATTTAGAATAAAAACATAAAGTTATAATTTAAAAACATAATTCCAAGCAGTTTTAGTTAATGGTTTTGCTTTTTAAGACTTTTATTTATAGACTTCTTACTAGATGGTTGTTGTTGACCAGTTTTGGTGCAAAAGAGTTAATAACTACATAGTTATTAAGTTAAAAGTGTCAAACTAAGTTTATTAGGTGTTGACTAGCTTCTATTTATTCTGCTATGCTAAAAACTCCTATATTTTAATAACATCTTCTTTTATACTGATAAATCTTTGTGTTATACTGAAAACTCCTTCTGCTATATTCTGATAAATTTTTCTGTTATGCTAATAACTTCCAATTAAACTTTCTAAAAATTCATGTGAAATGAAATTTGATGTTCCAAAAGTAAATTTCAAAAATAGCTTAAAATGAATTAAATTTATAATAAAAGATAATTACTTATATAAAAATTTATATAAAAAACTTATATAAAAATAAAGTTACGTTTAAAAAGCAATATAAGAATTGACTGAAACATGTTTATCATTAACAAGTAGACCTTCAATAGCTTTATTTAAAAAGAATTAAAAAATAAAATATGAAAGAGTTTGTTTATTCAAAATTTATTTTAGTTGTGTCTTGAATAATATGCTTTACTTAAAGTTTAGTAAAGCAAGTTTAATTTAGTTTTCCATTTGATTCTTCAATTTTTTTTATTCATTTATAGACTTTTAGGAAAAAAGAGTTCTAGAATAGTAATTCTTTTTCTTTTATTAATATTTTAATACTAAAAAAATATTTTGGTCATTTTATAAACTACTTTCCAGATTAAAGCAAACATTCTGATTAAAAAATAAATTAGTTTTTGAACCAGTGCAGTTTTTGCACTGCTTTTTTAAATATGCAAATACAACTTTCATTTTTTTTTTCCATCAATATTCACACATGCATCAGTTTACTATTGTTAAGTAAAATAAAATTTTTTATTTTTTTAAATTTTTGTCTTCTTTTGACAATTTTATATAAAAATAACTTTATATAAAAATAATTTTATATAAAAATAACTTTATATAAAAATAACTTTATATAAAAGTAACTTTATATAAAAATATCTTTATATAAAAATAACTTTATATAAAAATAACTTTATATAAAAATAACTTTATATAAAAATAACTTTATATAAAAATAACTTTATATAAAAATAACTTTATATAAAAATAACTTTATATAAAAGTAACTTTATATAAAAATAACTTTATATAAAGTTATTGTTTTACATTAGATCAAAAAAAGAGCTGCCATTTAAAAATGTTTTGACGCAAAAAATATGTGACATTAATAATTAGTTAAAAAAAGTTGTATTAATATGACTATTTCACACAACTCAAATATTATGATCTTAAAAAGTCACTTTATTAAATTAGAGTCTATACAAAATCGATAAAAAATTGTAGGGTAGAATAAAAATTTTAAAAAACAAACAATTTTTTTAAAATTGTGATTTAAAATTATTTTTTTTAAACAAGATTTAAAAGAACATCAATATGGTGAACTCTCGCATATGAAGCGAGTGGTAAAACACTCGCTTCATAAGCGAGAGTTCGATAACCACCACGTCCCTGGTAAAACCGCGCTCAACTTGTTTCTCTGCGCAGCGGCCTTGTTTGTCAAGGTTCGTGTTTCGGAGTTATAGAGTTAAGAGAGGGTTATAACCACTATTAAGTAGCCTCTTCGTCTGTAGTGGCGTTCTCGGCCTTGAGGAGGTGAATAACAAAAAAAAAAAAATCAACGCTACATACACATATACAGCATACTACTGTCAGGAATAAATTATGATATGTATATATATATATATATATATATATATATATATATATATATATATATATATATATATATATGTATGTATATATGTATATATGTGTATATATATATATATATATATACACACAGTATATATATACAGTTTATATATATATATATATACAGTTTATATATATATATATATATATATTATGTTAGTGTATTCTACAAATAGAGTGCTCAATGCTCTAAAAGAACAGAGCAATAATAAACTAGTAAAAACCCTTATCTAACTTTTATTTGTCTTCAACATAATGTTTCTCCATCAGTAGGTTCATCAGGAAGCTTCCTCATGAACCTACTGATAGAGAAACATTATGTTGAAGACAACTAAAAATTAGATAAGTGTTTATATATATATATATATATATATATATATATATATATATATATATATATATATATATATATATATATATATATATATATATATATATATATATATATATATATATATATATATAGATATGTATATATAAATCTAGATATGGATCAACCTGTTATTAACAGACTTCAAGTTGCAAAATCAAATATTGAAGGAGACAGTTTGCTTATGTCATGCTCTGCTGATGCAAATCCATCACGTTCAAACTTAAGTTTTTCATGGAAACTTAATGGTCGATTTATTTCACATGGTGCTTTTCTTAGTATAAGTAATGCAACTAAAAAAGATTCTGGTATTTACGAATGTTCAGTAAGAAACAGTGTTGGTGTTTCCAAGGAAGAGTTCATAAACATTCAATGTAAGAAATATTTAATTTTATTTATTAACATTTTTTAATAAAAATTGTCAATGTTTATATATTAAATGTTAAATAACATTATACATACATGTATGTATAATGTTATTTAATATAATACATACATGTATGTATAATATTATAAATAATATTATACATACATTTTAAATACATAAATGTATAGTAATATTTTCTTATATATTTTTCATATCATATATTTTTTTCAAATTTAAATTTGGTTTTTACATGTCATATTTTCCAATTTTTTATGTGCTATTTAGATTTGGATGAACCTAGTTTGATACTTCTACAGGATAGCATTGTGTTGGAAGGAAATAGCCTGACCCTTCACTGTCTTTCAGCTGGTTCATTTCCATTGTCTTACTTTTGGATAAAGAATAATACTTTGATAACTTATACTAATGAGTACCTAATATTTAAAGCTATTACTCGACTTGATCAAGGAATGTATCAGTGTAAAGTTTCAAACAATGTTACAAGCAAATTTTCAGCTGTAGTAAATATTCAAGTAGTTTGTATGTTTCAGTTTGTATGTTTGTTTGTTACAAATATTTTCTGCTTTAATAGGTTTAATCAGTACAATATTTATCTATGGTACTGAGATGTTTAGTATATAGAACAGTTTCCAAACATGATGTTCAAAAGGTTTGAAGTGTAAATAGTTTCCAAACAGTATAAAAAAATTTTAAATTATATATTTATAGATCTTGATCAACCTGTTATTGCTATGTCTAAAGATCTGAACTCCTTGTTTGAAGGGGATCAGTTACTTTTGTCCTGCAACACAATTGGAAGTATGGACATAAGTTATCAATGGTTTAAAAATAATGATCTAATAAGCAACAATAAAGTATTGTTTTTTCAAAATTTTACTAATAATGACACTGGAAGTTATGCATGCTATGTTACTAATGGATATATGAAAAAGTTTAATGTTGTTTTGCTTGCTGCACATTGTAAGAATTATTTTCAAAATAAATTTGTGTAGTTTTACTAAAATCAAATTTTGTTTTTATTTAATAAATCTTATAAATATTAAAATATAAATTTCCAATAAATAACTTTTTTTATATACTTTGTCTTTACAAGTAAAGTTGCACACACATAAAGACTATTTAATAACTTGTTACGTTATTTCATCATTACAGGCTGTATTATACATTGTGATAGGTCACATTAATTTATGGATTATTTTTTTACGTCTTTATGGGATAAGATTCAATCAAACTAATATTGCTCCTCTTCATTACTCAGTAAAGTTGTATCCTTATACTTTAACTGTTCCTTTTTTATCAAAAACTTATATTCAATTTTTTTTTTCTTGAACATCAAATGATGTCAGCCTAGGAATACTCTCCCATCTTCATGTTTTCCTGACTAATTCAATTTAAAGTTTTTTAAACCTTTTTTTTATTATTATTTCATTTTCTTGCTCACAAGCTCTCTTCTTTACTTTCTAACTTTTTCTAATAACTTCTAACTTCTAATAACTAATAAAAACTTCTAACTTCTAGTAACTAATAATAACTTCTTACTTCTAATAACTAGTAATAACTTCTAACTTCTAATAACTAATAATAACTTCTAACTTCTATTAACTAATAATAACTTCTAAGTTCTAATAACTAAGAATAACCTCTAACTCCTAATAACTAATAATAATTTCTAACTCCTAATAACTAATAATAACTTCTAACTTCTAGTAACTAATAATAACTTCTTACTTCTAATAACTAATAATAACTTCTAACTTCTAATAACTAATAATAACTTCTAACTTTTAATAACTAATAATAACTTCTAACTTCTAACAACTAATAATAACTTCTAACTTCTAATAACTAAGAATAACCTCTAACTCCTAATAACTAATAATAATTTCTAACTTCTAATAACTAATAATAACTTCTAACTTCCAATAAATAATAATAACTTCTAATTTCTAAATTATAATAATTAATAATAACTTCTTACTTCTAATAACTAATAATAACTTCTAATAACTAATAATAACTTCTAACTTCAATAACTAATAATAACTTCTAACTTCTAATAACCTTTAACTTCTAATAACTAATAATAACTTCCAACTTCTAATAACTAATAATAATATCTAACTTTTAATAATTAATAATAACTTCTTACTTCTAATAACTAATAATAACTTTTAACTTCTAATAACTAATAATAACTTCTAAGTTCTAATAACTAAGAATAACCTCTAACTCCTAATAACTAATAATTGAAACTTAATAATTGTTTGCCATAATGGGAGAGAATTTCTTTAAAGAAAAATCATTTTATTGTATGACATCATTAAAAGCTTGCAAAAAAAGTTAATTTGGGTACATGGTTTAATTATGACCTCAATTCTACATGATTCTCAATTCTTATTAGAGATAAGATATAATATTACTTATTTTATCAAACAATAAAAATCAGAATATAAAAATTTCTTATCATTTACAACATAATTAATGACTGGCAATCTTTATAAGTAACTTAGAATAGTTACCAGTAAACTCTCCTTGTTTTATAAGACCAAAACCATTGTGTTTTAAACCTATTATTCTACTAGCAAGCAAGAAATTTTTAGTTCTTATTCTGCTGTCCTATCTCCTTTCTAAAATTTCATTAAGTTTATAGAATGTTTTGCAAACACACCAAGCAGTTTATTGTGACAAGATTATTAATACTATTATTAATTGTTTGGGTTATTAATATTTATATAAGCAGTTTAAGAATAGTGCCACAAACTTTATTTGTCTTTAAATGCTTTAAAATTTTGTGATTAAGTTTAAAATGCTTTAAAATGTTGAAACTAGATTTTTAAAACTTTGCTAATGTTTTTGAAATTAGTTTTTAATTTTTTTTTAGGATAAAAAATGTTTGTCCTAAAAATTTAGTAATTTTATATTTGAATTAAAATTAAACATTTAACAACATTGTAATTTTAAATCATGTATTTTTTTTTTTTTTTGTATAAATTAAACATGGACATAGATTTAGGATTCTTTGGTGTTTTTTCTTAAATTTTTCAATAATTTTTATAAATTTTATCAACTTTCTATATATCATTGCAAATTTGAGGTGAAATTCATAAAATTAATCTTTTCCAGCATTGAAAACTAGTGATTAATTTTATTAATTTTTTGTTTAACAACTTGTTTAACATCAGAAACCAGTTTAAGACTGGTTTCTGTTTTTAAACAAGTTTTATGAGTTTCTTGTACCCTCATACCCTCTTACCCATAATTAAATGAGCATATCATGAATTTTCTTAATTAAATTACCTCTACCATGGATATACCTATCTACCTGCCTTATCTCTTGATAATATGTAATATTATAATAGTTTTTTATAATTGATACATTATATTGCTTGCAAAAATATCACAGTTGTTAAACTGATATTCCAATAACCTAAACTTAAAATTTTTATTTTATTTTCATTTTCTTTATAACTTTTATTTACTCAAATTTTTTTCGGAAAAAAACCTACTTTATTACTTTTTAAAACTTTTTTAGTTTTTTTTTGTTTAAATAATCGTCATAGCAGAATTGTTATGTTTTTATTTTAAATTTTTCTAGTTATTAGTGTTCCTTGGCTAGAGTTCCTTCCTTACTATTCTATAGTAGAAGGAACACCTTTAATAATTTTGTGTCACGTGAATTCCTCTGATCATGTGAAATATTTTTGGTACAAGGATGGAAAAAAGCTTCCAGATTTATCTAAAAGTTTGTATATTGTTACAAGTAGAAATAGTAGTGGTGTTTATGTATGTGTGACATCAACTAAATATTCAACAAAAATGTCCAATTCACAATACTTGGAAATATTTTGTAAGTTATTAAAATTGTTTGAAAAGTTAAATCATTTTGTTTTGTTTTTAACGACTTTTATAATATTGTTTCATAATGTAATGAACTTAGGGTAGAGATAAAATCTTCACTCTAAAGCTGTTCTGGTCCTTTTAATCACTTTAGCTTAACAACAATTTAAGGGACTAAAATAATTTAGGCCCAAGTGCCTAATGCAATGACTGCATATAAATGACAAAGAAAAATATCATCATCAAAACACAATAGCAAGAGGATAACAACTTTAATGTGAGTTATCATGAATGGCCACAAAACAACCTCCCCCAAAGTTACTGTCTTGCTTAAAAACCATCTTAAGCATCCAGTTTCTAATAAAACTGTTGAACGGTAGCTCCACAAAGCTTGAAAGGTCGGCCATCCGCAAACCTCTGCTCTCAACAAAAAATGTTGCAAAGTGTTTATGGTGCAAATGGTGCAAAAACCATCAAAGCTATGGTCTATGGAGCAGTCGAGGAATGTGATATTTTCTGATAAATCATTTAATTTATTTAAGACCACAGGCCTGGTTTATGTCTGGAGCCTAAAGAAGCATTTGAACTAGACTGCCTTCTTCACACTGTAAAATATGAAGGGGGAAGTTTGATGATCTTTGCAGCAATATTATGGAAATCTGTCAGCCCAATTGTTTCACTTCAAGGAAGAATAAATAGTCAAGATTATTTAGGCATTTTGATTAGGTGCATCCCATGATCTTGGAACTGTTTATGGATAGAAATGCTATATTCGAGGAAGATATGTCTCTATAATAACAGCTCAAGTGGTCTCAGAACAATATGAAGGTGCACAGAACAATATGATGAAAAGAAGCACCTTGTTTGTCTACCAAAGTCTACAGACCTGAATATTATTGAGTATTTGTGGTGCAAGTAGGAAAATAATGAGAGGAGTTGATATCCTCATCTCACAATACATATGTATATATTATATATATATATATATATATATATATATATATATATATATATATATATATATATATATATATATATATATATATATATATATATATATATATATATATAATATATATATATATATATATACATATACAAGATTAATGGAGCGCATTCCAAAGAGCAGAAAAAAACTAGTTAAAAGAAATTTGTGGATCACTAAGGAACTTAAGAACACTTACCATAAGGCTTAATTGAATGACAAGTAACAAAAGAAAATTTTTTAGCAGATAGCACAAGAGGCGCTAACTTTTTAGAGCAGCCCCCATTATAGTATTTATAAAAAAGAGAAAAAGAAGTAACATTACGATGATGCGGCAAAAGTTTAAGGTTGGCTGCAAGAGCAGGTCTAACTATGTTTACAATGTGTTTTATCCCCTTGTCTAAAAGTAAAAGGGCATCATTTGAGGATCCACTCCAGATATTGCAACAGTATTCCATACAAGGAAGGATTCAAGATTTGTAGAGATAAAGAGTTAATTGTGGAGAGTAAAATTGTAGAGAGTTAGAAGATGGTGAGCATGATAAAGAGATACAACCTTAGCAGATGCTAAATTTGCAATGGATTTAATAAATGGTTTTAAGAAAGATTGGAAGTAGGAGTTGATTCTAGAAGACAAAAGGTAGATGACTCATAGAGTATATTACTATTCATAAAGGAAGATCTGGATTATAACGGTTACCTTAAAAATTGAGTTTTAAAAAATAAGAGCTCTATGTTATAGCAGAAGTGAGATCTTTTTTAAGCTCAAATGCTTTTTCCAAGCAATTAGAGAGTGTTGGCTTCTTATCAAGACAAGAATAAATGGTTGTATTATCAGCTAAGAATGCTACCTTAGGTAGGAGAATTTCTGAAAGATTGTGAATGCAAATTAAAAATAGTATAGAGCCAAAACTAGAACCTTGAGGAACCCCTGGAGTTACAGAAAATGAAGTTACCGGAAGTGCTGTTTATCGAGGACAACTTTTATACTACGATTGGAGAAGACCAGCATGCCAAACTTTATCAAAGACTTTAAAAAATATTTAGAGCAATAGCCTCAACCTATCCACAGTAGGTATATTATTAAATGATCTGATTAGTGGAATTAAGAGATGAGATTGATAAAAAGCAAAAAAAAAAACACTTTTTTTATGTAATTAAGTGTTAATCCAGAAAAAAACTTCAGCCTTGTAATTAGCTCAGGTAACAAAATCTGAATGAGCAAGAGAGGATAAAGAGAGGATAAAAGCTGGAAAATAATGGAGAGAGATAATTTGAGATGAACTACAAAAAACTGCAGGAGCACAATGAGAGGAAAACTATGGAGGAGTGTGAGGCTTGACTTGGAATTGTAGAGAGGGAATAAAAGATTCCATGCCAGCCTGAATCCATAAAGTTACATAAGAAGCACATTAGTCAGCAGGAAAACAAAAGATTTTTACCCCAGTTCCATCACAAAGAAAATTATGGAAAGAGTCCAAGTCAGGTTTAGAAAAGGTATGAAGATAAGGAGATTCTGATGATGAAAAATAAGATAATAGTTTTAGAGAGATCAAACTGTGAGCAGAAGCACTAAAGGGTGAAAATGGAGAAACTGAGTACTGACTAAGATTAGATTTAGGATTAGGACTAGATTAGATAGAAGTTGGGTTGATAAAAATGATTCAAATTGTCTGGAAAGCAAGTTGGAAAGTTGGCAATTTGTGTTAGAGATTGAGGATGACAAAAGTTGTTGGCTCTAGTGTCTGCATAGCTAATGACACTGGTGCTGAGTTATTCAGTGTGATTTTACCAACAACAACGATATTAGCTGAAAGGTAAATAGAAACCCCTTTGTCAATTTGATCAGAAATAACATTGAAAAGAGTGCAGTCTTGCAATGAAGGAAAGCAATAGAGAACAAAGAGAAAGATTATAGATTGAAGTGGTGCTAAATAAATGCACATAAAAGAATCGTATGTGAATTCAAACCTAGTTTCCTGACAAATAAATGAATTTTTACAAATGTAAATGCCCAGGCCCAGCATGTGTATATTGGAGTCTTTAAGAATTAAAGGAAGATGATCATGAACAATAAGATCACAAGATAAGACAGCTATTATCAAATTAGTCTCACGAGTATTAATGAATGATAGATTTAGAGAACTTGGTAATGATGATTTTTATTATGTTTATAGTTTCTGGTACTTTAATCATTTTAGGACTTGACTCCAAGCACAGATTGTTTTCAATACACTATTTAATAATTCAAGCAATTGCCTCATTACTATTAATAAACCCTAAGCCATAACATAGGGCTCCAAATTTGGCCTTGAAAATGCACACCAAAAGTAAAAACAAGAACACCATTCATGCATAACATAGCATTGTTAGTACTCTGACTCTTTACAGCTGTTGATGGATCAGCCTCTGAGAGCTACCACGGAGAATGAGTAATATATATATATATATATATATATATATATATATATATATATATATATATATATATATATATTCATTATTCGTTTTTCTTCTTTTTTTCAGAAAAATCATAGAACATATATAAAACTATATATAGAAGTCAGCATTTTTGAATTGAAACTGTTTGTCTGATTAAAGTGTTTAAAATATAATAGTATTATGTATCTAAGTTTTCATCAGTGAGTATATATATATATATATACATATATATATATATATATATATATATATATATATATATATATATATATATATATATATATATATATATATATATATATATATATATATATATATATATATATATATATATATTCTTATAGGATTTTTTGAAGTTTCTGAAGTATCCTTAACTTAAAATTAATTAATTAGTATAAAATTAATTTCAATTTTTCATTTACCATAAACATATTGCATGTCAGTCTTTATTTTGTCAAATCAAAGTAATCAGCAAATTTAACCAGATGAACCAGCGAGCATTTTTCCAAAGTACTTAAAACAGCTTCTACTAACTGAGTATCTATTTTTCTGAATAACTTCTATTAGATTTTTTTTTTAAACATCTTTGCTTCCAACAAGGCTGCAAGCAACCACAAATTAGTGTTGGAAGTTACTGGAAGTGAAAAGATGAAGATTGTAGAGCAAGATAACGATTGACAGACGACTTAAAAGATTGCAAATTATATGAATCAGGAAAGCAAGATGAAGGAAGCGAATTCAAAAGAACTGATGTTTGAGGAAAAAAACTAGAGGAAAAAGAGTTTTTAGAGCACTTAGGAACAGTCACAGAAAAAGGATGAGATTGAATATGAGTAACACGTATGAATGAATTTTAGTAAATTACACATAAGAGGCAAGCTCTTCAGTGCAGTGTCCATTATAATATTTGTAGAAAAGAGAAAGAGAAGCAACATTTCGACGATGTGATAATGGTTGAAGTTTGGCTGCAACAGCAGGTCCAACTATGTTTACAATGCGTTTTTGCACCTTGACTAAAATGAAAGGACATCATTAGAAGATATGCCCCATATATGGCAACAGTATTCCATACAAGGCCGGATATTGATTTATAGAAATAGAGAATATAATCTAGAGTAAGAAAGTGTTGAGCTCGATAAAGAGATGCAACTTTAGCAGATGCCAATTTTGCAACGGATTTAGTATATGGTTTCCAAGAAAGATCAGAAGTAAGAGTTAATCCTAGAAGTTAAAGGGTAGATGACTTATCAAGTACATTACCGTTCATAAATATAAGAAGTTCTAAATTATTGCGATAACGATTGGCTGAAACAAATTGAATTTTATCTGAATTAAAGTTCACTAGCCACTGTGAGCCCCATGCTGTAGCAGAAGTGAGATCCTTTACAAGCTCAAATGCCCCCTCCAAGCAATCAGAGAGAGTTGGCTTCTTATCATGACAAGAATAAATGGTAGTATCATTAGCAAACAATGCCACCTTAGATGTGAAAATATCGGGAAGATTGTTAATGTAAATTAAAAATAGTATAGGGCCAAAGATTGAACCTTGAGGTAACAGAATAAAAAGAAGAGTGCTGTCCATCAGGGACAACTTTTATACTACGATTGGAAAGGGAGGATTCAATAATCTTAAAGATGTTTCCAGATAAACCATAAGAAGAAAGCTTATGGAGAAAACCAGCATGACAAACTTTATCAAACGCTTTAGAAATATCAAGAACAATGGCCTTAATCTACCTTTATCTATTGCGCAATAAAACTTATTGGTTATTGCTGTAAGCAAATCAGTCACAGAACAAGAAGATCGAAATCCATATTGATGATCAGAAAGTAAGTTATAAGATTCAAGATAAGAGATTAAGTGTTAATTAAAGATTCAAAAACCTTGCTTATGATAGGAAGAAGACTAATGGGACGGTAGTTAGACAAATCAGATTGCTCTCCAGAATTCTTAAAAATAGGGATAACAGATGCTGCTTTCCAGTCTGAAAAACAAGACACTGATAAGCGCTTGTTGATTAGTTTTGTAAGGATAGACAACAGCTCCAAAGAACACTTCTGAAAGACTATAGCAGGTATGTTTTCCGGGCTACAAGCTGTAGAAGAGTATAAGCAGGAAATCAAATTCGATACAGAAGCTGAAGTGATACAAATGTCAAGCAAGGGATCAACCTGTTTGACAGCTAAATCAGGTGGAACACAACTAGTGGAATCAAGAGATGATATTGATGAAAAGTTCTTAGCAAATAAATCAGCTTAGTCTTTGCTTAGATTGAAACCAGGTTTGAAAAGACTTAAGAAACCAATAAAGTTCAGAATGTTAAAATTTTTAATAATAGTTATTGTACATTAAGAGTTCTCTAAATGTGTAATGACAACATCTGAAGGTGTATTTTGCATACAGATGTTTGTGAAAAGGTTTTCATTTAGATAAATTAAAATGTTTTTTAAAAGAAGTTATTATAGTATAATAACTTCTTTTAAAATATTTGGCTTTCATTAGAATTTAAATACAGCTGTTTGTGTCAAGATTTTGCTCTGCACTAAAGTAACCCCGCAGATGGTTATTTCATCGTGATGTCATTAATGTTTCAGAATCAATACATCATGGCATTTTTATCTTGTTATTCATCAATGCATTATTTTTATCTTGTTATTCATAATATTTAAAAAAATTACAATGCATCATTTTATGCATAATATTTAAAAAAATAACAATGCATCATAAAAAAACATCAATGCGTCATTTTTACCTTGTTATTCATAATACTTAAAAAAATATTTTTTTTGAATTTCTTTCAACAAAAAAAAAAAACAAAGAATAAAATTATATGCATATATATATATATATATATATATATATATATATATATATATATATATATATATATATATATATATATATATATATATATATATATATATATATGTATAAATGTATATAAATATATATTTATATACATAAAATTGCCGACCTCACAAAAATTATTAATAATTTTTATTTATTAAAGTTAATTTTATTATTTATCATATTTTAAATACTTTAGATATTTCCTTTCCATTTATAAATGAAAAGCAAATAGTTCTTGGAAAAAATAAATCTACTAATATCAGTTGTTCATCAAATTCTTTTCCTGTCAGTAATTACACTTGGGTGAAAGATGGTCAAGTTATTGGTCATGATCAAGTTTTATTGATTAATAATATGAATCTTGAATCTGTTGGTGTTTATGAATGTTATGTTGAAAACATTGCTGGTCGAAAGATGACTTCAACAAATGTACAACTTCAATGTTAGTTTTATTTAGTTTTTTTTCTCTCTCTCTTTGTTTTAGATTAATTAATGCTAGCTATTATACTAAGTATGTTAGGTTGATTAATGCAAGCTATTTTACCAAAAATGAAAACAAATTCTTTAATATATATTAAATTAATTTTTGTATGTTTTGGATCAATGAATACTCTCAATTGCAAATTTGTTTAAAAAAATATTTTCAGCAGATACAAAATTATAAATTATAAGCAAAATTAAAAAAATTAATATTCTTTACAGTTTTAGAAAAACCTAACATATCAGCTCTTCCATCTAAAAAAATTCGGGAAGGAAATTCATTATTTTTGATTTGCGAGACTACCGGTTCTGGAAAAATAAGCTTCTTTTGGTCAATTGATGGAATTGTTTTTGATCAAGATACTCCTTACAAACTGATAGAGCATCTCAATCGGTATGACAAGAAAAGTATTTTTTGCATTGCTAAGAATAATCATGACTCAAAAATGTCAGATGTGCTGAAACTAGACATTATTTGTAAGTTTATTTTTTATAAGTTTTGATTTGAGCAATATGCAGTAATGCTTGTTATTTATTTTTCTAATTTAACTGTTACAACTAAATTACTTAAGTGCTCACTTTATAAGAGGGTGATACAGATTTCAAATCTTACCTTCAACTTGTTTATCCATACATTAACCTTGATTGTCCTAACATCTGTTTACAGTGTTGAAAGAGGGTTCTAATAAAATTAAAATAAAAAAAAAATAAAAAAAAAACTGCAACCACTCTGCCCCTTGACTTTAAGTAGGTACCACTCCATAAATACCAAAAAGATTGCAGGAAGAACATTTGTGCTGTAGAGTATTGTATCAGCTTAATATTCGCAAATATTATTAAATAATATTAATTATTAATAATAAATAATATTAATTATTATTTAATATTATTTAAGTGTTTTTAGTTAAGTAAGCACATGCATTTATTTTCAATAAAATATATTAAGTTTCTTAATAAGCTCCAAATAACTATGGTCACATTTTCTACTATCCAATGCAAACGTTCTTTACGCTATTTTTATTTTGTGTTTTACCCAGGTTAGATTTGTTGCAATGTAAAGTTCATCTTTTGCTTGCAAACATTTTTTAACTTCTCTGCTGAACTTTTCAATTAAAAAAGAATTACGGCCCTCTACAGGAAACTGTTCTCAAATTTGGGCCAGTTTTTCTATTGATCTATTTTATAACTATTTATATTCTATTTTATACTTTGGCCGATTCAAAAATGTATTGTAATTATAGTTGGACCTGCTTTATCTGCCAAATTTTATTATCTCTCTCATTGTTGTAAGATTGCATCTCTCTCTATTTTCTACATATACTATGATTGTCGCTGCTTAAGGAGCTATCATTTTTAATCACATGCTTTTGCTGTATCTTCCCTTGCATACTCTAAAAACTTTTTATTTATCTAGTTTTTTTCCCTGCACTTTAATCCCTTGGAATTCTCTCTCATCTTCATGTTTTCCCGACTTATACAACTTATAACTTTCCAAGTCTTCTGTCAACCATTTTCTTGCTCTTTAATTCTATTTTTTGTTTTCTAGTAAGTCCCTACTTAAAAGTGGTTTTATTTTAGCTTTTGGTTTCAGTTGGGAAAAAACAATAAATAAAAGGAATTAAGAGTATATTTCAAATATCTTTTTTTTATTTTTTGGTTAAATTTTTTGCTGGTATCATTTGTTAATGACTGACTAATGTAATTGACAAATAATGTAAAAATGAAACAGTTCTGAGTTAAAGAAAATGATAAATACTTTTTTTTGTGATAGTTTTACATGGATTGAACTAAATGCTTGTTGATCATTTAAAATGCTAGGTTTTAGATCATTTAAAGTGCTAGGTTAATCATTTAGTTTTAAGTTTATGTTTTTGAATTGATAATAAACATTATTATATTGTTAACACTTGACAATTACTTGATTACCATTTGTATATTTAAATTTTGTTTTATTATTTCATAAATCTATATAACATTTTGTATTTTAACATGTCAAAACCACAAATGCTATTTATTAAAGCTGTTAAAAAGGTTGACAGTAATAGTTACCAAATCAAAGTTATGGATAATAATAACTTTTCCAAAGTTGAAATGAAGTTTCTCTTTGTATTTGTATACAAGTTATAAATGTATACATATACTATAAGTAAACATTCTTGATTTCAAAATGTAATTTTATGTAACCCATATTGATCCAGCGTTCCCAAATGGGAACATTTATTTATATCCTCTAAAGACATTATCAATACACTTGCTTTGCAAAACTATATTTTTTCCTGTGTTCACTTACGTCGATTCTAATAGAAAATTTACCCAAAAAAAAAAAGTGGTCTCAAATGGGTTAAGTATATTAATTAATATTTAAGTTTTATTTTATTTAGTTGAAGAAATATTTTAAAGAATAATTATTATTTGTTATAGATTTAGACAAACCAGTAATAAAAATGTTTGAGACATTAGATTATCTTGCACTTAATTGTTCTTCAAATGGTAATCCACCCCCCTCTGTTGCATGGTACTATCATGGCATTTTTATAACTGATCAAACTGTCTTAGAAGTTGCAAAAACAAGTGTTACAGAGTATGAATGCGTTGCTAAAAATGAATTTGGAGAGAAATCTGTTAGAACTGTTTTTGAAAAACAAAGTCAGTTTTATTTATTTACTATTTACTTATTTTCTTAATGTTAACTAAATTCAGAATAAAAAACGAAATAATTTCGTTATCATATTGTTTTGTTATATTTAGGTACTAGTAAACCTGTATTGAAAATAAATCCTTCAATATTCCCAAAAGAAGGAGATTCAGTTGTTATGACTTGTGAAACAAATGGAGAAAACAAGTTTGAGTGGTTTAAGGACAAATTGATGCTTGTTGGTAAATGTTGTATTTTCATGTTGGTAAATGTTGCATTAACCACAATTCATCACAAACTGCTGTTTGCATATTTAATAATATTTAAAACTATTTTTGTTACTGCCTAAAATGCAATAGATTGTTTATTCAAATGCAATAGATTGTTCAATTTTGTAGGTAATTCACAAATGCTATTTTTTAAAGCTGTTAAAAGGACTGACAGTGGTAGTTACCAATGCAAAGTTCTGGATGATCATGAGTTAATTTCACAAGCAGTTCAGCTGGTTGTTTCATGTAAGTAATTTAAAAATAAATAGACATCCTTATGCATTCTGCTTTTGTTAAACCAATTAACAATGTCAATGAGAATCAGAATGGTATAAGTCAACGTTTCCCCAATTTAAAATTTTTAAGGTTTTATTTGATTTACTGTAGTGAAAACTTTACAAACTAAAAAAAAAAAAAAAAACAGTTGCCACTTTTTTTACATAAACTTACACCTTACACCAGTTTGAAATTTAACATAATGATGCATTGTTATTATATCTATTGGCTTAACCCATTTTTTTTTCTACTTACATCATGCTGATTCTCACCAACTCATATATATATATATATATATATATATATATATATATATATATATATATATATATATATATATATATATATATATATATATATATATATATATATATATATATATATATATATGCAGTATATATATATATATATATATAATGCAGTATATATATATATATATATATATATATATATATATATATATATATATATATATATATATATATATATAATGCAGTATATATATATATATATATATATATATAATGCAGTATATATATATATATATATATATATATATATATATATATATATATATATATATATATATATATATATATATATATATACCGTAAAACGGGGTGAATAGAAACAATTTTTAACTTTGGTATGAAAATGTGCATACTTGTAGTTGTTCTAGATAAACAATTTTTTGCCCAAACACTGGTCTCTGTTAGGCCTATTTGTTTATAGTATTTAAATTTTTTAATTTTATTTGATTTTAAAGAAAAGTATATAAAGCATGGTGTTTCTATTCACCCCGCAGATGGGGGTGAATAGAAACAGTACTTCAATTTCATGCGTTTTTGTATTGAAAAAAATTTAGGGTGAATTGAAACAGACAAATATGGATTTTTGGTCAATAAATGAATACAAATAAATTTATTTCTCAACAATGATTTATTTGAGTACATAAACAAAAGAAGTTACATATAATGTGCCCTACGGTAAGAAAACAAATTGGAATAGTCCTCCCTATCTTCTGATTATATCTCCACACGTTTTCGGCTTTTCTTTGGCTGAATCTGTTTAGTACCTGAGGTACCTGGGTTTTGGCCAGTAGAACGTAAATTTTGGGGAATCTCATCGTCCACGATGAAGTCCTCAACACCAATACTTTTGCCAGGTTTCACATTTACTTTGGTCCTTTTTTACCTTATCTTAGGAGTCTGATCATGACGCAGACTCTGAAGGAGCTCTTGGAAACTCCTGTCAACAGCTTCAGTGTTCTTTTGATTGTTTTCTGGATTCTGATTTTCCTCATCATCAATGATTTTTGGAAGCATAGACAGCACTTTGTTCCTGTTTAGAGGCGCTATACCGCACTTCTTAAAACCGCTGATCACATTTTCTTCCTTCAATGAAGCACACAACTTTTTCAATAACGCGGGAAATTTGTCCTTAGGAACAGTTGCTTCTGCTCTTCCTGGGCCCTTTTTCCACTCTTCGAGAATCTGCCGCCATGTTGATTTCAATGGGCAAAAAAAAGCTATGCCTAGAGGTTGTGTGAGATGGGTGGAGTTAGCTGGGAGAAAAATAAAACTGATATCATTGTCTTTACACAACTTCACAGATTCCATTGATAAGTGGGAAGACAAATTGTCCCCAATCAGAATTTTTTGACCCGTTTTGTTTTTCAGGTACGGAAGAGCAACTGTCAGTACCCAATCTTCAAAGCAAAAGGAATCGAACCAGCCAGACTTTGTTCGATTGTACCTGGCGTTTTTTGGCCCACCTTCTGTCCAGCTTTGGTACAAGTGCATAGCCTTATACACAACGTAAGGTGGTAAAATAGTGCCATAAGCAGCGGCTGCAAACATCACAGACGTAGATGACTTTGATGAGTTTATGACTCTTTCTGGATATTTTGTCCCTCTACGTATAATGACCTTTCACTTTCATCGTAGTTAACGATGTTAGATAAAGGCACATCCTTTAATTCATTTGTCAGTTCATCAAAATAGTGGTTAATTGTTTCTGGTGTTACACCAGCCCTCGAGCGTTTAATATTCTGACACATTCTCACGGCCAGTTGTTCCTTATGACGTTTTATAAATGATTCCACAAAGTCACGGCCGGGGATGTTATCTTTAAACCTCTTAACTTCTTTCCTCTCCGGTCTAAAAAGTCTTTTACAAGGAGTCACAGAGTTGTAGTGTCAATGGGTTAACCCCATTTGCCACATATCTTAAGCCTATCAACAAACAGCTGTTCTTCTTCAAGAGATAATGCTGTCTGACCACCATGTTTCTTCAAATTTGGACCTCTTTTCAAGTGTCAATAAAGAACACTATAATGCAAACCATGTGTTTCAGCAGACTTTCGAAGGGTTAATCCATTCTGTATGTCAGAAATTGCTCTTTCCATTGTTTTGGATAGTGCTTTTTGTAGCCACCTCCAACCACGTGTTTGTACTTCCTTGGCATTTTACAGGGTTCTGAAATAAAACAGCTGTGTCAGTTAAGTGTCTAACATAAATATATAGCATACAGTATGTGTTTTATACAGTATAAACGTGATTTAGAATTACTTTTTTATTGCGGGGTGTAAAGAAACACTAGAAATTATATGTTTCTATTCACCCCGTCAATTCTGAAAACCTAACCTAAAAAATTCGAATAATTATTAAAATAATATTGTTACAGTTAAAGCTTAAAGTTAGCCTAACTCTTTTATATGAATAATTAAACTATGTTTTGTACAGCTATTTACTTTCAAGAACACTGAGTATTCCGACTTATCTGGAAAGTTCAAAGTGAATAAAAAAAAACAAGAATTTGCGGTAAAATTCAACATGAAAAACAAACATGAACCAATGCTGCTAAATAAGCAAACCATTATTTCACTTTCAGGCTAAAGGGTAGCAACCTAAAAAAGTTATTAGTTGCCATTATTTACTCATAGTTATGTAGTAAATAGATTATATATACAAAAATGAAGTTTTGTTTCTATTCACCCTGTTTTACGGTATATATAATGCAGTATATATATATATATATATATATATATATATATATATATATATATATATATATATATATATATATATATATATATATATATATAGCCGTTTTTATTGAATTTTAATTACATTATAACGTATAACAAGAAAATGACTTAAATTTTGAACAATGCAAACATTTTATTTCAATAACCTTACAAGTTTTTTTAGTGCAGTAGTTAGAAACATTATACTTCCATCATAAATGTTGTTTATGTTGCACAACTCTGTTGTGCTACATAAACAACATTTCCCCATACTCAGCTAATGTCTGCGTAACAAAAACAAATCCCCATATCCAGCTAATGTCTGCCTAGCCACTTTTTAAAGTCTTAACAGGTTAACAACTGCTTCTAAATTTTAAAAATACAAAAAAATTATATATTCATCAATAGTGACAATTTGAGCACATTTTTTTAATTTAATTGGTATGTGTGTGTGTGTATGTGTGTGTGTATGTGTGTGTGTATGTGTGTGTGTATGTGTGTGTGTATGTGTGTGTGTATGTGTGTATTGTAATCCCATAAAAATGAAGTAGTAATAAAACATCAACAACAATAATAATAATAGTAGTAGTAAAAAAAAAGAAACACTGACAAAAAATAATTTTAATATTTTTTAAACTAAAAATGTTTTTTTTCAATTTTAATAATAGATCTGGATGAGCCTATTATTGAATTGTTGCATCCATTGCCTTTTATAATGGTTGGAGATAGCATAGAATTAAAATGTGTATCATCTGCAAAGGTTATCTTTACTTGGTGCCATAACAGCATCATTCTTAGCAACTCTTCAATTTTGTCTCTTCAAAATGTAACAACAAAGAGTCAAGGAGAGTATATTTGTGAGATTTATGGAGAAATGGAATCAAGGAAAGCTTCAAAAGTTATTCACATTCAATGTATGTAAACATTTTTTTTTTATTGTTTCATAATAATATTTTTTTGTATTTTATTTACTATTCTGAAGTTTCTAGTGACCTTCTTTGCCACCTTGCTGCCTAAACTTTCCAAACCAAATTTAAGCAGCATTGTTTAAATGGGAGTTTGATTATTTAAAATGCTGGCTTCACTTCTTTTGATTTACTATCAGGGTTGGAAAAAAAACCAACCCAAATGGGTTTTTTTAGGTTTTATTGGGTTTTTTGGGTTATATGGGTTTTTTGGTTTTTTTTTTAAAACCAATTAAAATCCCAAAATTTTCATAACTGTATGTTTACAGTAATTTTTTTTAATTTTTATAAATTCACCTCCCTATTGCTCCAGTGACCACTTTAGTTAAGGGAGCAACTTATTTTTTAAAAGTATTTTGTCTCAATCCTTAACTTTAGACATAAGATTTCTACTAACAAACAACAATAACAACTAAAATTTTTAAACAAGAGCACTGTGCAGAGAAATAGATTGAGCGCAGTAATTTCAGCAGGGGTAATTTGAACCTCAACCTTTTGATTGTAAGCCAAATGTATTACCACTAGTCTACTACCACATTTTAAAATCTTATTTTAGTCTATTACCACATTTTATAGCAAAAGGGGACTCTATCAACTATAAATAATGTTAATAATTGCACTAAATGAAAAACATGTTCAGAATATTTTTGACTAAAAAAAAAATCACTATAAAAATTATTATGACAATTGAGTTACTAAAAATTGGTAAGACAATATAAATGTTGCAAACTAGTTTTTTACACTAACATGTTCAACATATCACTTCAAAAACTAGTTTGCACAAGTTTTACAACATGTAATCAACAAGTTTGCAACATGATGTTGCAACCTTGTTGATTATTGTCAATCAGGATGGCTATGAACACTTTTTAAATATTTTTGCATCATAGAAGAAAACTTTTAGCCTAATCACTACTTTTTTTTTTTAACAGAACATTATACTGTTCAACTTCTTGGAAAAGTTATAGGCCTGATCAACATTATGCAGTAATTATCTTAATTTTTCTTATTTTGTATGATCATAATTGGACTTTTAAAATGGTGTGAGAGTAATGATTAGCCGATTTGGAGTGACATTGGTACTTCATAATGTTTTTATTTTTTCGACTATGGGTAGATTTGTTTTGCAAATGGATTTGTGCCTAAGCTTAGATTGTTCTTGAGAATATCTAAAATGAATTTGTTAAGAACCATTACAGTGTCTTCACCACCAGATTCTTTTTTTTCTTTCTTTAAAGATGTTTTATCACCTCAATTTGCAACTGAATCAAAGTAACACAATGTATAACTCTTCACCTTTTAGCTAATTTGGTACTAATGTTCACTTTCAACTCGCTGTTTATAGTCACCCCTGTTGACGGTACATTTTGTAAACTTGTAGCTGATATAAAATATTTAAAACCTGTAAAATAGACAGATGAGATGAGTATCATTTTCACCAACAAATCTTGTCCTTGTGAAGTGCATACAAGTTTCCAACATGTTTTCTCTCATTGAATGAGCAAACATGTTGTAAACTTGCTTGCACATAACATAATGTTTTTTATGTTTTAAAGTTGTATGCACTTAACAAGGACAAGTCCTCAGTGTAGTAAACTGTAGCATTTTTTTTTTGCTTGACAACTTTCCATTTCTAGACTGTGAATAAAATTTAAAACTTTTTATATATAGGTTTTTTCTATTGGTTTTGTACTGAAATTTGCAGTTAACAACATAAGCTTTAAAAAATAAAGATCAAATACCAATATAAAATGTCATAAGACGTTTGTTTGGAAATATTTGAAAGGAGAGTAAAGATATTAAATAACTAGTAATGTCTTGTACTTTGAAATTTAGCTAATAGAATGATTTTTATTTTCTTTATTTAACTAGTTTAATGTTTTAATACATATTTCAATAATATTTTTTTTAATATTTAACTTGCTATATGGTTTAAAAAAATAATAAATTCCAAACTTGCTACAAAAAAAAAGATTAGTCGATTTTGGATTATTCTGCAAAGAGTTCGAACTAAAAATTATATTCTAAATAACATTTTGTATATAAAATTTACAAGAGTATTTACAAATTTACAAATTTTGTTTATAAGAGTATTTACAAAATAAAAATTGCATTTGTTGATAATAAAGCATTTATAAGTGGTTAAATCAGATTTATCAGTTGTAAAATTTGTAGCATTTTAAAAAAAATCTAAATATATTTTGGGTTTTTTTGGGTTGGGTTTTTTTACCAACCTGTTAACAATTTAGTTCTAGGTAACTTGCAACATTGTTGTTTAATTAGGTCTTTATGCTTGTATAATCTAACCATTCTTCTGAATGGAGTAGTCTAATGCACAACGTTTACATCACAATCCTTCTTTTTTTAGCTTAGTTTTAGTGGACATTGTTAAGCATGTAGTCAAATTGCTTATAGTATTCAAATTTATTTTTAATATTTAAACTTGCTTCTAGTATTCTTGTTTTAGTACACAGTTTTCCAGTAAGGTTTTTTTCAGGCATTTATAACATTGTTTATAATATACTTTTCACCTTTCATATCAAGTTGTTTGAGGGTTTTTGAGGCACAATTTCACATGATTTAATTTAAAAACTAAATATTTTGATCACAATTTAAAGTTTTTTTAAAACAGGGTTAATAAGTTTTTTTGTTTAAAATGACTTGCATTGTGTAATCCATGAATTGTTGCAGCTGCAACAATTTTTTCACATTTTCTTCTTTGTATTTTCAAATACCCAATCCTGATATTGTAATTAATGTTAGAAATGTTTGCTGGTATTAGGCAAACATTTTCTTTGCTAAAGCTTTTTGTAAAATGTCCCATTACCAATAAGTCAACTAATTTTTCCGGATTTTGAGGACCATCGTTTCTTGTTGGCTTGAGGTTTTTTAACTTGTCCATGTTCATATTTCATTCACTGTCAAAAAATCTTGCATTTTTATCTTAAATATCTTTATGCTGGTGTTATTTCACTTCACAACTGTTGACAAATCATCATCCAATAACTACAATAGTTTATTTTTGCTTTTGTTAAGTCTTTGCTATTGCTTCCTTCTGTTTGAACATGGCTATAGTTACATCAATGCAAAATTTCATTTAGCAAATATAATTACAACTGTGTTTTTAAAATAACTATATCAAGATGATAGATAACAACTTTATGATGCATCAAAGGATTCAACCAAGTTGTCAAGCCCAAGTGCAATAAGGAAAAAATTAAGAAGAGAGAAAGAATTTAAAAAAATTTAAAAGATATATTGAAAAGATGTTCAGAATATAAGATCATATATGAATATATAAAATGAATAAATGGTTAATTTAAAACGCCATAGGTAACGCTAATAAGGATCACTTTAATCACCTTTAAAGATGATTCAACCAAAATAAGTCTACATAGATTAAACTGTGTATTAGATCAACATATACTACCTATGTATCAGGTAATATAATTTTTTACTTTTAAAATGTTTAAGAGTGATCTCTTTTAAGTATGCTTGTAATAGGTATACAGGCTACAGGTAAGATGAAGATAGTAAGGATTCATCCCTTACAAATGATGTTAACCATTTTTTATAAGGCTCTCTGAAATATCATTGGTAAATATATTGTGGCCTTGATATATTGAGGAAAGAGTTTCACCTAAATTTGTCCACAACTTAATTTTATTTGAATCTTACAACAATGTGATTTTTATTATCTTTTTACTTTCTTTTTACTTTTCCTCTTTCCTTTTTATTTATATATTTCTATTCTGATATTTATATATTTCTATTCTGATATTTATATATTTCTATTCTGAATCTTTTACTTTTTATATGTACGGGTACTAGGTAAAATGCGAACTGCGAACTAGTAAAATGCGAACTTTTTATTTTTAACCATTGTCCTTTTGGTTGTTAATGATGTAATGTTTTATTTCTGTTAAATAGTTCATTTAGCGGTATGTTTTAAAGCCTTTAAACAAAAAAATTAATTAAAAAATAACCAAAGGAAATTAAGTGAAACTAGACAAATACAATATAATTTTTTTTTTTTTTTTTTTTTGTAATTATTTGATAGACTGCCTCCCCAAACCAAACCCTCAGTTAATTTAGCAGCACTCTGTTGCGAGTCAGGCTAAAAGATAGTTGATGTAGCAGCACTCCGTTGGGAGTCAGGCTATAAAGTAGTCGATGTAGCAACACTCCGCACATGTTTTACAGTTAAAAAATAAAAATTTTATTTTAAATAAAGCTTTAAAATAGACAATTAGAGAGTTTTTTATTGTTATTTTTATCATCACAATAATGGTCTTTAAAATATAATGTTTTGGTTCGCAAAAAAGTTTGCATTTTACCGACAACCATCCGTACGTATGTAAATCAGGGTGTGGAGTCGTAAAAAAAAAGTAATGACTCCGACTCCGACTCCAGTTGTTGAAATTTTTTAAGTACAACTCTGACTCCAACTCCGACTTTAACTCCAAAGCAAAATTTTTGAAAAATTCTTTGAATTCTTTTAAAAATATTATGCGATAAGTTAATAATTTCTTTTTTGACAAATTTATGAAACGTTCTTTGAGGTTTAGTATGAACATAAGGTTAATTGAATGTTTTGTACATGCACGTGCAATACCTAGAAGTTTTACTATTGGAGTCGGAGTCGCGATTTTATTAAGCCACTCTGACTCTGACTCCGACTCTGCTAAAAATGTCGCGACTCCGCAACTCCGACTCCAACTCCACAGCCCTGATGTAAATACATATATATATGTATATATATATATAAATATGTATATACATATATATATATATGTGTGTGTGTGTGTGTGTGTGTGTGTGTGTGTGTGTGTGTGTGTGTGTGTGTGTGTGTGTGTGTGTGTATATGAATATACACACATACACACATAATATGCATAATAACATCAGTAATTATGCATATAAACCAATGAAAATGTGATCTTTTGACAAGGTTTATCATTTGAAAATCGTTGAAAGTGAGTTCAAGTTATAATAAAATAAAATAAAAAATAGGATCCAAATATAATATCCTAACACTAGGTGTTATGTGATTAAATTTATTTGATTTTTTTTATCAAAAAGCATTGTTTCACAAATTTGATATTATTGTTTTGTTTCTTTTCTCATCATCCTCCCCCTTTTTTATGATATCCTTAAAAATTTTTCTTTTTCTAAGTTGTTAAATAAACATAACAAACATCCAAATAAACATAAAAATGCAGACCACCTCATCAGTTTATTGGGTTATGATTTCTTGAAAGAATTATACATGTTAAAAAAACAAGTGCATTTAAACTTTTTGTCTACAAAGTGTATAAATAACTTTTAAATATTTTAATTAGTTTTGTTGCAAAATGTTTCAAGTATGAAAAATTATTTTTTGGTATTTCTATAATGCATAACTCATGAGGTTAACATACAAAAATACAAAAGAATTTGAATAAATTAAGAATTTGGCAAAAGTCTTTCTTTTCCTGAGTGTAGTAAACACTTTAAGCTTCAGATGACTTGTATTACACAATACTGTACATATTCCTTGTGAATTGATCAATATAAACAATATAATAGTTTTTGATAAAAACTACTTGAAATTATTGAAGGTATACAAGGTGATTTTATGCTATTTATGTTTTATTGCTCATAAAAAAGTGACTATCAATTTCTCAATGGCCGAGTTCAAAATAGTGTCGAATCCTAAATGGTTTTTTATAGTTTCTTGTTTGCACTACCTTAAATATGTTAAATACTTCTATCCCATTGTATTTAATATTTGCACATGGAACATTTTTAATCATGAAATTTAGCAGATATATTAATCATATTATCAAAAGAAATAAAGATAATACCCATTACATCAGGCTGATATTTTGATGAATGCCAGAGTTATGTAATATTATTAAATCATGAACACTAGACCGTTTCTTGAAATTCTATTTTTTATTCATATTAATCTCTATTTTTAATATTTAAAATAAAGTAATTTTAGGAATCTCTATTTTTCACATTAGTTACATTATTTTTTCACATTAGTAATATTATTTTTCACAAATATTATTTCTGTTTTTAATACATTTATGAGAAATAACTATAGTAAACAATGTTAAAATAAATTCTATTACTAATCTACCGCAGCATTAAGAATTATAACATTTAATTAATCTAAATCATTTTAAATTTTAGTTCTAAACTTTAAAATAATTTTTTTATTATAAAAATATTTTACACATTCTTTTTCTTTATTATATTATATTAGTGTTTAATATTGTATCATCTGTTTAATGTTTCTGCAAAAATGCATTATTTGATAAATTATAGAATTAAATTGCTTTTATACAATCTTTTAATTATGTCTGACATAATTAAAAGATTAATCTTTTAATTATGCCTGACATAATTAAAAGATTGTATAAAAGCAATTTAAACCTGTTCATAAATTAATAAATTAGTGTTTGAAAAAATCAGAAGTAATAATAAGTCTGAATATATCATAATGCATCACAATTATGATCACAATTATGATTTGGTATAGACTATAATCACAATTATAGTCTATACCAAATCAAGAGCTAGAGCAGGTTTAGTTCCAGTCTCATTTTTGATACTAATTTAAAATTTAAAAATTCTTTATTATACTTAATAGATATGTATCATCCTGTAGTTCAATTTCTACCATCTAATTCAATCGTAGAGAGGAACACAGCTGTTGCTATTTGTTATGAAAATTCTTCTGATTCAGTAAATTTTACATGGTTCAAAAATAATAATGTTTTACCTGAATCATCTCGATTTTTCACCATTGCATATACAAATAGAACAGATAATGGTTTCTACAAATGTAAAACGTCTAACCAATATACAGAAAGGTTTTCAAATGATTACTTGCTTAATGTTGAGTGTGAGTATATTACTATCGTTATTAGTGTTACTATTATTGTTGTTGTTATTATTTTTGTCACTGTTATTATTATTATTGTTGTTATAGTTATTATTATCATTGCTGTTATTATTATTGTTGTTGTTGTTATATTATCATTTATTGTAACAATTATAAATAAGAAATATAAAGGTTTTGAATTAAATTTTTTTTTCTTTAAGATCTTGACAAGCCAGTCATAACTGAGTCAGAAAAATTAGGACTTATTACCTTTAATTGTACTGCTGATGGAAATCCTGCTCCTAATTACACTTGGTTTTATAAAAATAGTGCCTTTTCAAATGAAACACAATTAGTTGTAAATGTAAATATTGCGGAAAATGAAATTTATGTTTGCCAAGTTTCAAATAAAGTTGAAAGTCATTCAGTCAGTACTGCTATTAAAGAACCTGGTATAATATATTTAAACTAAAATTCCATTAGAATTATCTCTTGAGCATGTTGATTTGTATTTTCAATAATTTTAGCTATGAATGTACCTGTGTTAAACATAATACCTTTTGACACAATTGAAGAAGGCAGCACAGCTGTGCTTACTTGTGAAGTTGAGCATTCAGGACCAATTAACTATTTATGGTATAAAAATGACATCTTAATTGCTGGTACATTTTTGCTTTTTAATTTTCTATTTAAACATATTCAGCATATGGTTATTGCATATAAATTTGTATTAAACAACATAAACTAAACATATTTTAAAGTTTTAACTGGTACTTTATTTTAAGGAAATTCTGCAACCAAGTTCTTTATAAACGCAGCAAGGAATGATACTGGCACTTATCAATGTACTGCATTTAAAAATCAGAGTATGAAAAGTTCAAATAACATAACCATGAGAGTTAAATGTAAGAAACATTGTGAACATGTTTTTATTGAATGTAATTTACATGCAGGTAGTCAAAATTTGATCTCTACTTTTTCCATTGTGTCAATTTATCAAGTCATAGAGCATTTGCTTCTATTAATAAAAAATATAAAAATTGCAGTATTTTAACAAATAACCAAATTGTCAAACTAAAATTAGGGCAGTTTTTTTTTTTTTTTTTTAATGTATATATTTATTTTAAAATTCATTATTAAAAATATTTACATATAAAAAGTACAATTATTTGCAAATAAAAAAAGTTGTTAAATCAAGTTTTTTGTTTTTACTTCATTACTCGGTCAAGTTTTTTGTATGACTTTGAAATTTTATTTTTATAAGAGCAGAGGTAGAAGCAAACTGTTTTATTTAAAGTAGCTTTTGTTATAAATAAATAAATTTGAGTTTTATAGTTTTTTAATTACGATCTACATTTCATATGAGCCACAAATCATTGTACAGGTGTTTTGTTTGTCCTTTTAATTTGCTTGTAGCATAAGATTGCTTCTTTATATTTCTTTGTACTTTCTGGGTTTTTTATTGTAATTAAAAATGTTTGCACCTTTTTTTATTAAACTATTTATTTTGCAATTGAAATGTGAGCCCTCTTCTTAATTAATTCATTAATTAGCATTCTTAATTAGTATTCTTAATTAGTATTCTTTAGTATTAATTAAAACTAGTATTAATTAGTATTAATTAAAAATTTAGTATTAATTAGTATTAATTAAAAATTAAGTATTAAAAAGTAAGTATTAAAAATTAAGTATTAAAAATTAAGTATTAAAAATTAAGTATAAAAATTAAGTATTAAAAATTAAGTATTAATACTTTAGTATTAATTAAAAATTAATTAAAACTAGTATTAATTAGTATTTTTAATTAGCATTAATTAGTTACTAGCAACCCATAACGTTTGTTATAATTAAATAAATCAATGATAACAATTTAATTTTATATCCTATCTGAAATATCTAATACACAATAAACTTTTAATTTAAAATCTACTTAGTTGTGTTTGCTTTATTATAACTAACTTTATTAACATCTTGACCTTGGTCAAGATAATACTTACTTAAGATTATAATATATAAATGATGTAAAAAAATGATGAAAAATTTAAAAGGACCTTCAATCAGTAGTAGAGTTTCCTGATCAAACAAAAGAATTAAAAACCATTCTGATAAAGGTAGAATTAAAAACTATTCCAGAGCTTGTTTTTAATTTAAGTTACGTTTTAAAAAAATATTTTAAAAGGTGGATGAGCTTCATGCAGTGCATGAACGATTAACTACTGAAATGGCTGATCATTCTAATTTAATACGAAACCTTGTTATCAGAGCAGAAGATTCTCGCCTCAAAAATGTAAAAAGTAAGCCAAGTAAAGCCTGCCAAAACTTAAAAAATAGAAACATAAATAAAATCTATTCATATCTTAACTAATTAAAAAAAAATAAAAAATAAAAACAGCAAAAAGGGCTAATATCAAAATCTAGCTCTAAAATATTAACACATATCGTCACTAGATGCTGCAAAGTAACAATATATGTGCCAATATATAGTAACATCATTTGGCTGGCTAGCATTAAATATTAGCTTTACATATTTGTTTTGTAACTTATAAAAAAACAAACAAAGTACTTATAAAATAAGGCATTAAAAAACTTGAAAATAAAAAAAGTACAAATAGTCATTTTTTGAAATAAAATGTCTTTAAACTATAAATTCAGAGCATTTGAAAATATAACATAATTTTTATAATACTTTACATTAACCATACCTTGGTATTGAATGTTTATCAAGTTTAAAAAACATACTATTAAATGTGCAAATGTTTGATCTTTAATAGGGTTAACAAAAAAACTAGGGGTGTTTTGGACCAAACGGTAAATTAGAATCTGATGGAGTCAACTGAGTTCATGGAATAAACACCTGTTTACCATTAAAAATATCTGTCTATATCTCTGCATCAGTATCATTATTTCAAAGATCTAAATTTATAAAGAGGGAAAATTTCTTTTAATAGGTTTGTCAAACTCAATTTTATCAGCGCTTAAATAATTTTTTACCTCTCTTGATAGATGTTCAACCACTTTCTCTTGGTAGATGTTCAACCACTTTTTCATTGATTGAATGAATAATTGAAAATAAATTCACATTAGTGGGATAAAAATGACTTATTAAGCATTAAGTACATAATCATTTTGTTAAGCATCTTTAAATATCTTTTCAACAATCAAGTTGTTTTTTCTAATAATGCATTAATATATAATTTCAACACCACCTCAGTGCATTATTAGAGAAAATTTTTTTATTAAAATTTAATTTAATTTTGTTAATGAAATGCAACTTTTAAAAAGATTTACCTTTTAACAGGTTCCACTGCAAAGTTTAGTCTCCGCCAAAATGATTGACTAGAAAGTTTTTTTGCAAACATATTTTAACATCATATCAATTGCAATAAAAGTTTTTGTTGCAAACATCTTTTAACATCAATTGCAATTAATTTTTTTGTTGCAAACATCTTTTAACATCAATTGCAATTAAAGTTTTTGATGCAAACATCATTTCATTAATTGCAATTAAAGCAATTGGATCTCATGGAGTTCTTTTCAAGTAAAAAAAAGTGTTTATGTAATGAGTTAGGAGTTATGTGCTGTTATTTATTTTTGGGACAGAAAGAACAACAAATAAGTAATACAGTGTAGAAACATTTTTTAAGAAGAGTTACTGTGCTGTCAATCTATTCGACAGTCTAATAGCTGGTTTTCAGGAAGATGAGTTTTAATGCAGATAATAGTGTGTAACATGACTTTTAATATTCCCCACAATGCTTCATACGCACAACCATAAAAAAAATCTAAAAATGTGTTTATTTTATTATGGTTAATTGATTACTTATCAAAATATTCATACAGTTGTGCCCTGTGAAGATATATTTGTACAAATATTTTACAGCATTTAATGTTAATGTGGATTTGATATTTCTTCGATATCTATTGGTTGTAGGGTATCATCCAATGGTTGTTTACATTGATGCCTTTATTATTAATAACCAAGCTGTAAAAGTGGTACCTATTTTATGAATAATGTATTAGCATTAAACTCTTTAGGATATTTTTTGCCCTCCATCTTTCATATATAATGAATTTGGATTTAGCAATTCCTTTGCAAATTCAAGTTAAATATGAAAAACATACTTTTGAAAATAAAGTACCTTAATATGGGTTACAACTTTCTCTTATACACCATGCTTTTTTACACAATGGTATTTCATATCATTTGTAGTCTGACCTGAATATATAAAACATTATATGTAAAACTGAATATGTAAAACATCAAACTGCTTACTTCTCAGTTTGTTTTGATTATTTCAGATAAAAGCAAGTACTGGTCTTTAATTTTGTCATCAAAATAAAATATATATATAAATATATGATCATATAAATATATCATGTATAAATATATCATCAACAGCATATATTGCTATTGATGCATATGTCAGTATTGACTTTTTGTCATATTGCTGAAATAGTTTCAGCAATATGACAACAGTATTCCATACAGGAGTTTAAAATTGAGTCATCAGCAAACAGAGCTACTTTCAATGCTATGTTGTCAGGAAGATCATTATTGTAGATAAGAAACAAAACCGGACCAGATAGATAGACCTTGAGGTACCAGAAGTCAAGGATTTTAATAAAGCGGTTATAATAAAAAGATTTAATAATCTCAAAACCTTTTCCAGATTCCTATGACAAATTTTATCGAAAGCTTTAGATATATCAAGAGCAAAAGCCCTAACCTTACTGTCATCATCTAATGCACAACACACATCTAATGCACAATAAAATCTTTCACAGAAGTTAGCGAATCAGACGTAGAGCAAGGAGATGACAAACTGTATTGATTGTCTGACAGTAAGTTAATTGAATTCAAGATGGGAGGTTTGAAATTTGTTAAATAAAGACTCAAAGCTAACAACAGGTAACTTTACTAACAAAGGTAGAAAATTGATCGGACAATAGTTGAAAGGGTCAGAATGTTCACAGATTTTTAAAAATTGAAAAATTAAAAAAGTTCACACTTTTAAAATTTGAAACCACAGATGCCATTTTTCAGCAGATAGGTAAACATGATTTGCACAAACACTTACAAAATAATTTAGAGAGATTTTAAGAAATTTCTGGAGAACACTTTTGTAAAACTATGATGGGAATGTTGTCTGGACCAGAAGCCGTAAAAGTGTTTAATTAAGATTTGACTTTAGCAACAGAAGCTGGAGTAATTTGAATGTCTAACAATGGGTTTAGCTGGAATGGAAGGAAAAAAATGAGTTTGAATAAGAAATTTAAGACAAAAAATTTACAGAGATCATTATGGAGTTCATTACAGAGATTCACAACAAATGTGAATTGATGCATATGTATACTCCAAGCCAAGCACTTGACTATCAGAGTCTTTGCGAATTAAAGAATAATACCAATCAATACTGAGATCTGGTAATGGAGTTGCGGAATTCAAATTAGTGTCACCAAGAGCATGCAAGACTGGTGAATTTTGAAAGAGGTAAGATTCAACTGATGGAAGGTTGCTTTGCAAACAACAAATATTTGTAAAAGATATATTGAAACAGTTACGTGTTGGGGGTGGTTTTTTATGTTTAATATTTTGCTTTACTTTTGGCATGATTTAAGTTTAAAGAGAACTTGACTCATTTGTAGGTAAAGTACAGCTTCCCAAGCAATTAGCTATGCAGTTGTCATAGTCCTACTAATTATCCCAAAGTTGTAACTTAGGGCTCCTTATGTAGCTTCAACAGTGCGCACCAAAAGAATTAACACTATGGATGGTACATCATGGATGGCACAACGTTGCACTATTAATACTCTGATATTTTACAGTGGTTAATGGAATCAGTCTCCCTGAGAGCTGCCATAGAGTTTAGGAAATCTTGCTACTAGCTGGCCTCAGAATGATTAAATTGTGCTTTAGAGCTGTACCCTAACTTGAAGGTAGCAGGAAAAGTTGCATAGCCACCATCAAGGAGGCACAAGCGAAAATCTCTGAGTGAGTTAAGTAGATACTGTATTCATCATTTTAGGCAGGAAACAATGTAACACAAGTTACATTCACGCCAGCTTATTAGATGAAGAAGGGGTTTGAGGATGGTCAAAAATTTATTCTGCTTACCTCTAAAGTCTTTGCCTAGGAGGCCTTTTACAATACAGTAGCTGGATGCAGTTAACATCAGTCCAAAATGAGTATTTTTATTGAGATCTCATCTCAATAACTTTACCAATTTAGTCAGAATTTGTTTCTTCTAGCCTTTGCCTTAAAAAAAAGTGAACTTACAAGGCAGCAGGGCCTGAGACAGGTAGTACTTTCATGATACCAGTAGCAGGGTGATTGTGATGATCTTGAACCTGACCTTACCTGGAAATTGTTGGTAAGAGCAACTGTTGATAAGAACAATTTCCATATCAAAAACGAGTAGTAATATTTAAAAATAAAGGAAAGCATTAATTATTAAAAAAAAAAATTATTTAAGTAATGTGTTAATCAGTGGACCATAATAAGGTTTAATTGTTGTGGCAATTTTTTTTTTTTGAGAAGCATTAAAACATCATTTAGAGCATCATTTTCTGTGGGTTGGATTAAATGACTTTTTGTATTTATCGGACTTCATCTAAAAGTTTAATTATTTTTTTCAAATGTTTACTAGGAAATCACTGAATTTTTATATATTATGGAATTTTGAAATATGTTTACTTCTCAGTTAGTAATGGATATTAAAGTTGACTTTCTGCTGATTTCCTGATTTCTCCAATTATTACATTATGCTTTTATTACAATTTTCTAGTTTATTAATTTAGTTTCTATTAGTAGTTATATTAAATAATTTTATTTTTATTCCATTCTTAGACTTAGACAAACCTGTTATAATTGTTGCACATCCTAATAAAATGATTTGTGTGAATGACTATGTTCAGTTGATCTGCTCATCATCTGGCAGTTCTGCTATTACATATCAATGGAAATATGGAAGTAAAGTACTTAGCAACTCCTCAGTATTGGAATTTGAAAGTATAAATAAAGAAAATCATGGAGAATATAGCTGTGAAGTTTTTAGTGTCCAAGGAATGAAAAAACAAAGTTTTAAAGTTATTATGGTTCATTGTATGTTGTTCCTTTTTATTTTAAAGTTACTAAATACAGTATTTTTTACTACAGTACATTTGTATTACAGTAAATGTATTGTACATGTATAATAATGTATTGCAAATGTATTGTAAATGTATTGTACAGTACATGTACAGTACATGTACAGTACATGTACAGTAATTGTTTAAACTTAAACAATTTGAAAAGATTATTTGTTTTATAATTTCCAAAACAATTTTAAAATCTTGTTTATTTTACAAATGGCAGTTTACTTTGACTACAATGATCTTGGAATGGTTGGGAAATCCCTAAATTGTAAAATTTTATGATATTGTAAAAAATGATTAATAAAGTATTTTTAAAAGATTTCTCCAACAATTGATTATTACATTGAATAAATATTTTTTACTATTAAATAGTTAAAATAAAATATCATAATACTTATTACTAATTAAATGTTTTCTTAAAAATAAAATTCATTAATTGTAATTTACTACTTATTGAATGTTTTAAAACTTTTTTTTAAGACCTTGATGAGCCGTTTCTCGATGTCTCACCTTCAAGCAAAGTTAAAGAAGGGAGTTCGCTGACCCTTAGATGCTCAGTAAATAGTTCAGATTCTGTTTTCTATACTTGGATAAAAAATGATTTAGATATGGAGGTTCACTCTGAATTTTTTGTGATTAGTAAAGTTAATCATCATTCTGATCATGGAGTTTATTATTGCACAGCTTCAAATATTGCTGGATTTAAAACTTCAAATGAATTAACAATATTAGTGAGCTGTAAGTATATTGTAGGTTTTATAAGTATATCCTTGGTTTTGTAAATGTGTTGTAGGTTTTGTATGTTTTAAAAAAATAACATCGACCTATCCAAAAGTTTTTTTTTTCCTGCTTTTTCAGAAATCATCAGTACGATGTGTTTATTATACCAAATTTGTGTAATAAATATAAAGAATATTTTTTTGTCTTTTTTTTTCGAGGTCTTGTGTTTTACGAGAAGTGCATTTTTATTTGTTTTTTTAGTTATATTTTTACTATTTATTATGTGAAGTTTGAATGTTTTTTTATCAGATCTTAAAACACCTGTGATTACTGACGTCCAAAAAGATGGTTTTATTTTTTTTACTTGTTTTGCTGAAGGATTCCCATCACCACAATATATATGGAAGCTATATGAAAAGAATTTAACACACAATGATACTCTACAGATTGAAATAAGTAAATCTTATAGTAATGAATACGAATGCACTGCATTCAATGAATATCATACGAAATCAGTGTTTTCTGTTGGTCTTAAAATGTGTAAGTTAGCTAAATTTCTCTGCTTCTTTTATATGGCTAAGCTAAAATAATTTTTTGAGTAAATTTTTATTCTTTATCTTACCTATCTACCTATCATACTTTTTTTTTTATTCATCAACCTAACAAACCTTTATCTTACTTATCTACCTAAGATACCTTTATCTTATTTATCTACCTATATACCTTTATCTTATTTATCAACCTAACATACCTTTATCTTACTTATCTACCTGACATTTTATTTTACTTATCTACCTAACTTACCTTTATCTTACTTATCTATCTAACATTACAAAACAGATTTAATTATATTTCATAGTTCATGGTTTGATTAAATTATAATCATGAACCATATATATCTTTTTAATTCAAGTAAGTTTTGTTTAGTTTCAGATCAGTTTTATTGCATTTAGTTTCAGTTTTATTTTTTTGTTTTTTTTATTTCAACCAAATATGATTTAGCTCTATCTACACCATTGTTGAAAGTTTTTCCTTCTGGAAATATCAATCGAGGCTCTTCTGTTTTTTTCACATGCTCTATGAACAGCAACAAACCCGTCACATATGCTTGGTATAAAAATAAAAAAGTTTTGGTCGGTCAGTTTGACCAAGTGCTATATTTAGAAAATGTTAATATTAATGATAGTGGCGAATATAAATGCACTATATCAAATGATGTTGAGACGGAAACATCTAAATCAAAAAAATTGGATGTTCTTT